TGGTTGGCTTTTTAACTTGAGAATTACCCAAGTATGTGGATAAAAAACTCAGCCTTCTAATTTCTTCATTACTTCTTTTCTTCAAGAGAAGTTGTAAGGGTAAAAAATACATGAGATGTAACCTTTTAACAATGTGATGTTGTACTGTAAGCACAATATTGTACAATAGATCTCTAAAACTTTTTGTCTTGCTAACTGAAGCTTTATATCCACTGAACCGCAACTCCCAACTTTCTCTCTCCTCTGCTCCTGGCAACTACCATTTTAATTCCTATTTATGAGTGTGACTACCTGAGATACCTCATACAAAGAAATAAAATCATGTGGAATTTGTTGTTCTGTGGTTGACTTGTTTCAGTTAGCATATTACCTTCAAGGTTTACCTATATTGTTGCATGATAGTCTTTCTTTTTTTGCAAGCTGAACAGTATTCCACTGTATGTACATGCCAATCTTCGTTATTCATCCCTTGATGGATATTTAAATTGCTTCCACAACTTATTTAGGGTGAATCATTATGCAATGAACAGCCATGGGAGTTCACATATCTTAGGAATTCTGATTTCAATTATTTTGGATAAATATATAGAAAAGGGATGGTGGATCATAAGGTCAGTTCGATTTTTAAGAAAATGTATTTTCTAGAATGGTTACACCATTTCAGTCTCACATAGCATATAATTTCAATTTTTCCATACCCTCACCAACATTTGCTACTTTTTTTGATTTTTGGAAATGGACCAGTTTTTAAAATTTTTTTGTTTTCTTTTTCGTTATAAAGGACAGAAGAATGCATTTTGACATACCATAAATACATGGAGCATAACTTCCCATTTTTGTGGTTGTACATAAGGTGGAGTTAGACTGGTTTTTGTATTCATGGAAGAATATAGGAAAGTTATGTCCAATTCATTCTATAGTCTTTCCCATTTCCCACCCTGCTCCCTTCCCTTCATTCTCCTTTATCTAATCCAGTTAAATTCTATTATTCCCTCCTCCACCACTTATTGTGAGTTAGCATCTGAATATCAGAGAAAACATTCAGCCTTTGGTTTTCAGGATTGGCTTATTTTGCTTAGCATAATATTCTCCAGTTCCATCCATTTACTGGCAAATGCCATAATTTCATACTTTTTAATGGCTAAATAATACTCCAATGTGTATGTGTACCATATTTTCTTTTTCCATTCATCTGTTGAAGGGCATCTAGGTTGGTTCAACAGCTTGGATTCCTACAGATCATCATCAATTCACTCTATTGTTTCCTTCAGTGAGTGGAGACTTCCTAATTTGATATATTTCTACTTGTCTATTTTTGGTTTTGTCAACTGTGCTTTTGGTGTTATATGTAAGAAACCATTTTTTTCCTGTGTTTTAGTATAGAAGTTTCACAGTTTCAGGTTGTATGTTAAAATCTTTAACCCACTTTGAGTTGATTTTTGTATAAGAGAATAATCTGATTCCATTCTTTTCCCTATGGTTACCAGGTTTTCCCAGTAACACTTGTTAAAGAGACTATCCTTTCTCTGTTGTATATTCTTGGCAATCTTATTGATGATCAGTTGACCATATGCATAGGTTTATTTCTGGGCTATTTTGTTTCACTGATGTACATCTGTCTTATGCTAGTATCATAAGRTTTTAATTTCTGTAGTTTTATAATACATTTTGGAGCCAGGAAATGAGAAGCCTCTAGATTTTTCTATCTCAAGACTGTTTCTGGCAATCTGGGATTCTCTGGGGTTCCATATGAATTCTGGGATTTTTATAGAGACTATAATAAATCTGTACATCACTATGAGTAGTACAGACCTTTTAACAATATATTAAAGTCTTCCAACCATGAACACATAATATCATTCCATTTGTTTGTATCTTCTTTAATTTCTTCCAGCAATATTTTATAGTTTTCAGTGAGCAAATCTTTTACTTCCTTGGTTACATATTCCTAACCATTTTCTAGTTTTTGATGCTATTGTAAATGGGATTGTTTCATTTCTATTTGAAATTATTYATTGTTAGTATCTAGAAATGCAACTGATTTTCATTTGCTAATTTTTAATCTTGCAAACTTTTCTGAACTCATTTATTACTTCTTACATATATTTGTGTGTGAGTGTGTCAGGGATGCTTTCTATTTACATAATCATGCCCTCTGCAAACTAAGACAATTTTATTTCTTCCTTTCTGATTAGGATGCCTTATTTCTTTTTCTGGCCTAACTGCTCTAGGTAGGACTTCTATGTTGAACAGAAGTGAAGAATGTGGGTACTTTGCCTTTTTCCTGATACTAGAGAAAAAGCTATCAGTTTGAATCTCAAGTGTTATATAAAATAAGGGCTTTTATACATAGTCTTATATTAAGTTGAGGTAATATTCTCTTATATCTAGGATGAATATTTTGTTCATAAAAGTACTGAATTTTGTCAAATGCTTTATTTGCATCTCTTGAGATGGTATGATTTTTATACTTCATTCTATTATGATGATGTGATAAAATGATTGATTTCATACATTGAAATATCATTGCATCCCAAGAATAAACTTCATTTGGTCATGGCGTGTCATGACACACCATGACATGAACATACAGTTCACTAGTATTTTGTTAAGGATGTCCACATCAATTTTCATTATGGATACTGACATGTAGATTTCTATTTTTTCAGTCTTTGATTTTGGTATTATAATAATGCTATATTCATAAAATTAATTTGGGAATGTTTCTTTCTTTTCAGCTTTTTTGAAGAGTTTTGAGGATTGGCACAAATTCCTCTTTAAATATTTGGCCAAATTCACTAGTAACATTATCTGGTTTTGAGCTTCTTTCTTTTTGGGGGGAAACTTTTTGATGAATGACTCAACAGCTTATAAGTTTTCCACTTTTTCATTCTTATGTTTCCAGAAAATCACCCACTGTTTTCTCAGTATCCTTTGTTTTCTGTGGCATCATTTATAATATTTCCCTTTCAATTCTGATTTTGAATTTTTTTTCTTAGTGTAGCTAAAACTGTCAATTTTGTTTGTCTTTTCAAAAAAAAGCTTTTTCTCTCAATGTTTTACTATTCTTTATTTCATTTATTTTTACTCTGATCTTGTTTACTTAATCCCTACTGCATACTTTGGGATTATTTCTTTCTCTAATTCTTTGTAAATTAGGTTGTTTATTTGTGCTCTTTCTCCTTTTTTTAACATGGGTACTTATTGCTACACAGGTCTCTCAGAATTGCCTTTGCTGCATCTTCTAAGTTTTTGTGTGTTGTACTTTCATTTTTGTCTCTATTTTCTAATTTCCATTTTGATTTTTCCTTTGACTCACTGGTTAAGGGATATTATTTAATATGCCCACATTTAGTGAATTTCCTAATTTTCCTCCTGTTACTGATTTCTAGTTTCATTCCATTGTAGTTGGACATAAAACTTGGTATGTATTTAATCTTAAATTTGCCGAGTAATTTAGTGACCTAACTCGTGGCCTACCCTTGCAAATGTTCTGTGTATATTTGAGAAGATACTGTTATTAGTCTCTAGTTACAATAAATGTTCTGCTAGACACACAGGCGCATGCATGTAACCCCTGCTGCTTAGGAGGCTCAGATGGAGGATCAGAAGTTCAAAGCCAGCTGCAACAACTGAGACCCCATCTCAAAAAAAAAGSGGGGGAGGGTTGGGGCAGGGCTGAGGATGTGACTTAACAGTTAAGTGCCCCTGGGTTCAATCCCTGGTACAAAAAAAGAAAGAATGTTCTGTGTATGTCTATTAAGTCCATTTGGTCTATAGTGTTGTTAAATTTTTCTGCTTTATTTATATCTTCTGTCTGGATATTCCATCTATTATTTAAAGTGGTCTACTGAAATTTCCTGCTATAATTATGGCTACCTATTTCTTTCTTCATATATATCCACAATATTTGTTTCATATACTAGGAGTGCTGATGTTGGCTGCATATATAATTATTATATTTTCCCAGTGAATTGATCCTTTTATCATTATATGATGTCCTTTTTCTGTTGTAAGAGTTTTTGACCTCAAGTCTATTTTGTCTGATATAAGTGTACCATCTGTGCTCTCTTTGGATATCTTCTTGTTTGTTTCCACACAATAATCTATGTCTTTTGATTACAGAATTTAATCCATTTACAATGTCAGTTGTTAGTGACTGGGAAGATATATGGTCATTTATTTAGTTCTTTTCTGAGTACTGCAAGTCTCTCTTTTGTACTGCTTTTTTTTAAATTTTCCTCTCTTGCTATCTTCCTTTATGTTTGGCTGAGTTTACATAATGACAAAACTCATTAATTTCTAATTCCTCTCTCATTTTCTTTTGTACATTTTTCAAAGGTTCTATTTTTGTCCTCATCACAGGGTTTACTTATATCATAACAATCTATTTTAATCTTATAACAATTTATGCTAAATAAAAACTTCTACACTTTTACTTCTTCTCCCAACAATTTTTATGTTATTGGTGTTATAATTTACATCTCTGTATATTGTGTATCTGTTAACATATTTATACAGCTACAGTTATTTCTTACACATAGAATTTTCAACTTATATATCAGAATTAAAGTCATTTATGCTGTAATAGTACTGCCAAAATACTGTAATATTCTGTTATCTGTTTACATACTTCCCTTTACCAGCAAATTTTATACTTACTTATGCTTTCATGTTACTGTTTGGCATCCTTTTAAAAATTTATTCTGTCTTAAACTAGACTCCTGAATCTAAATACATTTTTATTTCATAAGTTAAAATTGCTGAAGAACATGCATCAATGTTATTTGGCAATTATAAATCAGAATTAAGATTCTSTTCAAAGACTCAGGTTACTGAAGGAGCCTAATTCTTGCAACCAATATACAGTTCTAGTACATAAAAAGCCCACCAGGACTGGCGATGTACTTCAGTGTTAAAGCCCTTAGGTCATCCCCAGCTCCAGGAGGGGAAAAAAATAAACTACACTATATAGAAGGTGCACCAATTTTAATACTTACCAGTTCCTTTGCTTAGATATGGGGGCTTAAAGAATTTCACAACACCATAGACATTGACAATTGTACCACCTTTAAGTTGATTAAGGGGTGTATATATATAATTTGTTGCTGGAACCTGAAGAAAGAAAATACAGTGATTACATTATTATTTACTTTTTAGAATCATATCAGTTATAAATGAGCAAATCTACATAACTGTATATTACCCTTCAAGAATCGAAAAGAAGACAACTTCAAAAAAGGCAATGTGCAGTTTATAAAATTTACTATATAAATCAACTAGTTTTCTTCAAAATAACTTGTTTAAACATTATACTTCTTCAATAATAAAKTAGAAAAGAGTACATTAAAGTATCAGTAACTAATGTATAAACTGAAACAATATAGGAAATAAGAAACTCTTAAAATATGCATATCTTCTAAGTTAAAGAAAAAGAGTTTTACTAAAGAGATATGACGCATAAGGCTGGGGATGCAGCTCCATGGTAGAGCGAGTGCTTAGTACAGACAAGTCCCTGGACTTGAATCCAGTATCCTCCCTCCCCTCAAAAGGAAAGGAATAATCAATTATAATGAGACTTTTCTTAAAGTCCTGAAAGAGTGGTAAGAATACTGGTTCTATCAATAAAGAATTCTGTATCTTATAAGTTTAGGGAAAACGTATTCCCAAAAGTACTAAAGGCTCTGGGGGGGGGGGCTGTCAGTAATTCAATCATTTTAGCCATTTTTACATTAATACTTTCCCAACTTATCTGGCAATGAAGTCATAAATGAAATGTAAAACCCACAGTTTATGTATATCTATAAAGCAYAATTTTAAAAACCATAAACAACTAGAAGAAAGACTAGTAGAGAAAGGGAAACAGGGTAGGAGAAGGGAGGAAAAGATTAAGGACTGAAGGGAAGCAAATTATATTTCACAATTGTATGATTAGGTCAAAATAAAACCAAATATTATGTATAACTACAACACACTAATAAAAAAGCACAACAAAACAGTTATCAGAAAAATTTTTTTTAAAATGAAGTCTATGAAATTTTGGATTTGGCTTGTAACTTTATATCACTTTAACACTTATGGTATAATTTCTCTTTCTTTTATCCAAAAGATTTACTGAAATAACTACATAAGTGTGGTAAAAAAAAAAAAAAAAAAAGAAAAAAGTCATTTAGGAGACTATGCACATCAAGAAGGATGCTAAATGTTGATATGACTGCAAGGTCCAATTCTAAAAGGTTTCAGCTGGGTGGTGCCGTCATCCACCTGCCTCTACCTCAACAGAAAATCGATTATCCATCACTCTGAAAGGGAAAATTTTAAAACTCAAATAAAAACAAATGAATTCATTTTTTCCAAGGAAGATGATTCCTTGAATCACACATGGAAGAGTAGGGCTTAGAAGCTGCATTAAACTTTTAACATAAAAGAAAGCTGTAGCTCATCATGTTGAAAGAACACAGGTCAGCAAAATAAACAGAAAGAAGACATGTGCCTTGGTTGACAAAATGACTGGACATAATATTCTATCTTAACAAGTCAGCCTAATGCAGAGATGAGGAAAGAATGCTAGCATAGCTAAATGGATCATCCCAGTTACTGTACTTGCTAATTCATGATGAAAAATCAACTTATGAATTATAAATTTGGCTTTCCAGGTAATCAGACAGTACATGTGGATGTAGCAAGTAAGCTGTGTTTTTAAATAATATATTTATAAATTGATGTTTCTGCTAATATTCTCATATAAGTTTGGTTAATGTACTTTTTTTGGCATGGGGGACTGACCACAGGGGCTCTAAATCACTGAGCTACATCCCTGGAACTAGTGGTTTTTTTTTTTTGGTACTGGGGACTGACTCAGGGGTATCTGACCACTGAGTCACATCCCCAGCCCTATTTTATATTTTATTTAGAGACAGGGTCTCACTGAGTTACTTAGGGCCTCACCATTGCTGAGGCTGGCTTTAAAACTCCCGATTCTCCTGCCTCAAGTCTCGAGAGCCACTGGGATTACAAACATGAGTCACTGCGCCTTTTTTTTTTTTCTTTTCTTTTTTTAAGATAGGATCTCACCAAGTAGTTTAAGGACCTGCTAAGTTGCTCAGGCTGGCCTCAACGTTGGGATCATCCTGCTTCAGCCTCCCAAAACCCTGGGATTATGGATGTGCACCACTGCACCTGGCAGTTAATGTCCTCTTAAGAGAATATGTATTTGGAAAGACAACAAATAAACTTACATAATAATTGCCAATAAAACTTACCTGAAAAATCTGTCTCCATTGCAGACAATAAAATATGACATTCCATAAGAAATGATTATAGTGGAGACACCCAAATCAATGTTATTTTAAGAAACAAACGTATGTTGGGAGGGATGTGGTGTGGTTAGGAAAGAAGAATGATAAGCAAAGGTTTTCTGAAGGGGATAACTAATGTAAATGTGGAAGGACAACAAAGAGAGAACAACACAAGAATTTGGCTATAACATTACATAATTAGAGATTCGAAAATAGTTTGACAAAATTGACACAAATGATATTTCTAATATTGATAACAATAAACATATAATATTTACAGCAAGCTACCAACTTCTAGGCTGATAATAGGATATAGTACTTGTTATGGCAATGCCTTTGGACACATTATTCTATAAATAATTGCAAAAAACTACATCATCACTTTCCAACAGATCCTTTTGTGAGAATAAAAATATTCCACAACATTGTGGTTGCTAAGAAATTTAAATATGACTAGTGCAAATTAGAGTAGTCTGAGGAAGTCCCTTTGAGAGGTTCAAATGTTCCTAAGCAGCAGAGTGTGTGTTTAGAAAATCCCTTTGAAAAGATATTTACAGGAAGGAGCCAATTAAGCAAAGAACAGAAGTTGGGAATGAGCTAAGTAATCCAAAGTACATGTATGAAGACATGAATTGGGTGTCAACCTACTTTATATACAAACAGAGATATGAAAAATTGTGATATATATATATATATAAGAATTATAATGCAAAAAAAACCAAGTGCATGTATAAAGACATGAATTAGCATGAACATACGTTATACAAAGATATGAAAAATTGTGCTCTATATGTGTAATAAGAATTGTAATACATTCCGCTGTAGTGTATTAAAAAAAAATAAAATCAATTAAAAAAAAAGTAAAAAAGAAAAAGAGTTCTAAGTAGAGAAAACAAATCACTGTCAAACATATGGCTGAATTATACAAGGTTGAATAGGAATATAGGGGTTAGTTTATATGCTGAGCCTTTAGATCATAGAACTGGGCCAAATGTTTTTAAATCTTGAAGACAATATAAGATGAAATAATTGTTTGGTGTTACTTGAAAAGGGTAATCCTACCATTACTGTAAAACAATACACTCTTATTTCCTAAATTCTAAAAGATTACTGGTCCAATGATACATTAGACATTAAATAATACATTCTGATGAAAACTACAAAATCCTCTTAGGAAAATAGTAAAAACCTCACCAACAATAACTGGATGCTTTGCTAATACAACTGCAAAGTCCAATACTCAGTTTAAAAATGTGAAAATGAGCACTAAACTCAGGAAAATAAAGTTCAATAAATCTGTACTTGATTTAYTTAAGAGGCATGAGCTTTTTGGAAAACTATTTTAGAGATATTCCTCTTATTTCCTTTTTATTTGCAGGCTCAAAGATGTACCAAATAATTAAAGTTGACTAATCTATAACAATTTTAGGAAATACAAATGCCAGGGCTACTTCACATTCTAAAAAGCACATCTACCCTCCTATTGTTAGTTTCCCCAAAAAACGAATTTTAATTATATTACTATTGATATGGCTCGGTTGGTAGAGTGCTTGCCTACTATGCACAAGGCCCTGGGGTCAATCCCCATCGCGTGYGCATGCGCCTGCGCGAACRMACACACACACACACACACACACACACACACACAAATTCAAAACCTGTGTCTCATATTTTTTTTTAAAGGAAAAAAGTCTCTATTCTCTATTTGCCTGAAGCTTTATTATTCTCTGTTAACTGAAGGTTTAAAAATATAGGCATATCATGAATTTTAAATTAAATTTTAACAATATACTACCTTTCCAGTTTCACTCAGCCATAAATAGCCTACCTATTAAAATGGGAACCTTCCTACCGCTATAACAAAATTTTATAAGAGTGAAAATATGGTATAAAAAGAAAAAGCAAAATGTATCACAAATACAAAGAAATTCTTTACTTAAAATTATATAATTTATCAAATAATAATTCAGCACATAATAATCTGTTCATACATAACTTGATGAAAAACAAAACATGATTCTTCCTATAATTAAAATTATCAAAAATCTCATTGTCTTCATATAGTAAAAATCTTTTTAAATTAAATTTTCTTGTGTATGTATACCTTATACAAAGTATCAGCAGATATCCAGATAATAGAATAAGCAGATATTAATTACTAAGTAAATATGTTAGCAAATAGAATGCTATCAGATATAAAAAAAGGGACTTCATTTTCTGATACTATTTCAAAATCAAGACAGTAAGGTAGACTAATTCAAAATCAAAATATAAAGTAGATGGACTAAAAAGCAGATATAAATATGTGTGTGTGTCTATGTGGATGTAGTAGGTATTATGTATTCTAAAATAACTAAAATATYATCTTACCAAAGACATTGGTTCTGTAGAAAAATCTCTCACAGATTTGACATAAACCTGAAAAAAGAGAGAGGGTTTAGTTGTATGCAAACTAYCTCTAGTGTCATCACAGACATTAAACTGTGGTAAAACTAATACTTAACAGTATAATATTCAAACTCACTAAAATGACAAGAAGTTATAGATTATATATTAAGAATAAAATGTGCTGGGCAAGGTGGCTCATGCCTTATATACCCAGCAGCACAGGAGGCTAAGGCAGTGAGATCACAAGTTCAAAACATCCTTAGCAACTTAGTGAGGCCTTAAGCAACTTAACAAGGCCCTGTCTCAAAATTTAAAAAAAATKTTAAAGCCTGGGAATGTGGCTCAGTAGCTAAGCACCCCTGGGTTCAGTCTGTGGTACTACAAAAAGAAAGAGTAAAATGTATTAAAATTTTCATTAAAACACTCAAATTTGAAGTATATCAGTATTTAGTCCTCAGGAAAAAATATAAAAGAGCATACAATCCCCAGTTCAAAGGAAGTGGAAAATCAGAATTAGTGTTCAAAACTTCTGCACAGAACCCTGGACTTTACAGAAAAACAAAATAAAATAAAGGAAATGTAGTAGAGATCACTTTACCTGAAATCTAACCCATATTCAACCTAATTTATTTATTATAATATCAAATAAGGCCACCCATAGCCCTTGAGTTGCCTCTGTACACACTAAGAGAAAACAATCAAACAGTTGTATGACTTGGTCAACATATGATTTTGATCAAAGAAGTAGTTTTCCAGCATGTGAAGGAGAAAGGAGGTCAAGAGTAAGAAGTCACTGTCACAAAGACTAACCCAGGAGAAAATGTTTTAACTAATTAATTTAAAATGAAATCAGGTCAACTATCAGAAGTACCTAATGGGATAATTACAAAGAAGAGGATGAGGTCTTGAATGTCTATGAAGTTTTCTAAGTTTCATTTTAAATGCAATAATATGTTGATCAGGATATTTAAGTCAACAATGGACTGCATATATGATGGTGGTCATGTAACACAGCCTTGTGACATATCAGCCATTTGAGCTTGTGAAAAGTACATTCTAGGATGTTTATACAACCATAAAATCACCTAATGATGCATTTCTCAGAACATACGACCATCATTAAGAAATGCATGACTGTATTCAYACAAGACCTTCCTTTTTCAGAGTCATTCTAAACATTTTGATTTTTCTTAAACTTGAAATAGTCAATTGTTGAAGCTCAGAAAATGACACTCCAAAATATACAACTTTGGACCTCAAGCTGAGAGGCTATTTCAAAATCAAACTGTAAGRTAGACTAATTCAAAATCAAAATATAAAGTAGATCGACTAAAAAGTAGATATAAATATGTGTGTATCTGTGCATGTACATGTGGATGTAGTAGGTGTTATGTATTCTAAAATAACTAAAATATCATCTTACCAAAGATATTTGGTAAGAAACAGCAAATGCTTGGAAGAGTTTTCTCTGAAGTTAGTTTCCTTATTTACTCAAAGACTAGACCTCCCAAAAAAGAACATAATTACCTTCAGATCTTGGTATTATAATTTCATTAGCCATGGAAGATTAAACTCAAATCATAGAGGAAGAGATTAAAAATCAAATATTACATTAAGAACCCAAAATATATTTGTATTAATTCACTGTCTCCTCTCCAGACATTCTCCCTCCATAAAAATCCTTTTATACTCCCCTAAAATTGCAGATAGCTCTCCTCCCTCCCTCTCTCCTATAGAGGTTTTTAAGTCTCAAACAGCTTACATATCTTATTTTGTATGGCTCCTGTAAATACATTCACATTAATAAATTTGTACATTTTTTCCTCCTATTAATCTGTTTGTTTCAGCAGATTCAATCACTGAAACTTCAGAACTGAAATTTGAGCTTTCTATACCACTAAAACAATTCAGTCAAACTAAATTTATCTACTGATTTCCAAAAATAACATCTCCATCCCATTACTTCAGCTCAGTGAAGCTACAATATATATGGTTAGAAAACAAAAGTTGCATACTTACATAAACAATTGATTTGAAGTTTTCAAATGCTTTCAAAAATATGCAACATTTAGTATCTCTGCTTGTAGATGCTGACAAAACAATAAACCTAGCCAATGCAATGGTGTCCTATATATGAAAAAAAGTTTGTTATTTAATTATGAAATATCTATAACCCAGAATGTTATACAAATCATTATTTAAAAACAGGAATCACTTCTATAAAATGGAAAACTGCTTAACCTAAATTGATTTCATGCTTATTGAATATATGTTTTAGACTAATACCTCCTTTGACCCTGAACTTCTACAACCATAGAAAAGAATAATGTCCCACTTCATGGCCCAGGAAAACACTAACAAAATCACATAGAAGATTTTTTTTTTTTTTTAGTGGGACTTAAAAATCATTGTTTATCTCAGCTTATATAAATAAGCTGTATAATTAAACACAAGATAACAAATGGGTTAGCAGTATTAAGAATAAAAYTTCAGAACTGAGAGACTACATTGAAAAAAGCATGTCTTTAGTGTAAAAACTCTATATTACAAATTACATATGTATATAAATCCAGAACATGATATAAAACTAGGAAATTTCCAGTTATACCTAAGAAGAGATATATTAAACTTATGTTTATAACAGTAAGAAGAAGCCATTCTCCATTTGTTTGTGTCATTCTCCATTTATTTGTATCTGAATATTTTTCAGATACTGAAACATAAACTGAGTTCTGTCTTGTCCATTGTACATATTTTGTTTTCTTATTCTTCTAATTGTAATAACAAATCTTAAGATGTATAAAAATTCTTGAACTTTAGGTCATCTTCCATCAATAGTTTTAATCTCCATGAAATGAAAGTCTACATAACTACATTTTGCTTTATATATATAAGGGCATGGTATCAGCCCCCAGAATTTTCTATTCAGTTTCATAAACTAGGTTCTAAGCCACTGGAAGACAAAGGGTTATGTTTTTATTTGCTTTGTGTTTACAACTGACCTCAGACCAATAAATTCTCATTTTAATGAAAACTTAAGATTTTGGTTAAAGATTCAAAGTTGTTTATTCAAATAAGCATGGTTTCTCTCTCTCTCTCTCTCTCTCTCTCTCTCTCACACACACACACACACCAGTATCTTATGTTATTCTTTATTTGACTTAAAAACATTTTCAAAAATAAACACTATGAGGAAAAAAAATTCACCGAAAAGCAAAAGATAAGGCAAAGATGGACATTTTTGTCTCAAATTTTCAGCATAAAACTTTATAAGTGTCTTTCATAATACAGAAAATATTTTATGAATAAATGACTAAAAGCTGTGAGCTAGTATTCATTAAAAATTTCTCAATTTATATCAATATTAGCTACACGATTCAGTAAGAAGTTACAATTCTTCCCTGAGCATATACTTGTCAACATGGAAATCATCAAACTTTTTTTAAAAAGTAAAGTTTGTTATAAGCACAGATTTATATTTGAATATGTACAGAAGCATGCACACACACACACATAAATTGCTTTGAAGGCCCTCATCTCATCTGAGCCTACTTCCATTTATTTTCATTCAATAAATATTTCCTTCAATATTTTCATTCATTCTCTTATAAATCTAACATTTTTCCACATCTATTCTTTGCTTATTCTAAGCTCCCATGAATAATAAACATTTCCCCATTTGTGTATTATTTAACTTTATCTGTTCTTCAAAGTCTGAGTTATAAATGCTTCTTCCTGATAAGGACTATCTTAAATTACACCTTTCCCAGAAGGGGGAAAAAAAAAAATCTTCCTCTGATTTCTCCCAAAGAGCATTTAAACATTCTTTGTACTCTGTTACTTCCAAACTTTAAACTTAATACCTCTAGTGCCATGTTAAAGCCCATTAAGCTCTTTTTTTTAAAAAATACCTTTTATTTATTTATGTATGTACGTATGTATGTATGTATGTATGTTTGGTTTTATGTGGTGCTGAGGATCGAACCCAGGGCCTCACATGTGCCAGGCAAATGATCTACCACTGAGCCACAACCCCGCCCAACCCATTAAGCTCTATAAAACTAAAAATAATGTCTTATCCATGTGTACATCCCATGAGTCACTGACAGGTTTCTATTCACAGTAGTCAACAAAGATATTATATGAATTAACAGTGGTAAAAATTGAAGTACAGATCAAACAAAGGAGAAAAAAAATGGCTCTTCAGATCTAGTTTCCATGAATTMATATATTTTTATATTTATTCAAATACATAGAAAATAAGAAAGATGAATATTTAATATGAAATATTAGTTTTTATATTTAGTAGATTTAATTGAAAATGAGATTTAATGTGTAGTGCTCTAACTTCTAAACTTCTGAGAGGCCCATACTGAGGCCATTCAAAAAAGAAGAGGAATTACTTAGTTTGGTGCCAAGAGGACATTCTGATACACAAAAGCAGTTATCTCAATCTGMTGAAAAAGTGTTAGGAGACCAGCTTGAGAAGAATACCATGTTACTAAATGTGACAAGGCTTACTGATGCCTGTGCACAAGCTATTAAAAGTAAATAAATATACAATCAGTGTAACTGAAAACTAGAGAAGTCATTTCCTTTTCACGACTCCTCCATTCTTCACTGTGCCTTAGATAGAGTGATTCCATGTCACTGAACAATTCCTGTTTGGTTTGTTTACTGCAAACCAGTCTCGTAAAAAAAAAAAAAAAAAAAAAAAGAATGTAAACAGTATACATGTTCTTAACTTAAAGAAATGTTCTTCAAAAATTAACAATCAACAGGAAAAAAAAAGAGCCTACATACTGTGTGAGTCTATATAACATCATGAAAAATGTAAAACTATGAAAACAATAAAGATAAAATGATCAGTAGCCTGGGATTAGGAGAAGGCAAGGATGCCTAGGCAGAGTACAGAAGATTTTCAGCAGTGAAAATCCTCTGTACATACATATGTAAATATATGTGAATATATATTTGCCCAAACCCAGAAGAATGTATACTACTAAAAGTGAACCCTCATGAAAACTACAGACCAGGTGATATGTGAAAGTAGGTTCATCAATTTTAATGACTATCTCACTGTAGAGAGGGATGCTGATGATAGTGGAGGAAAGCCTGCATGTGTGTAGGGAGGGTGTAAAAAGAAAATCTCTGTAATTTTCTCCTAATTTTGCTGTGAACTTAAAACTACTTTTTAAAAAAGTCCTTTAAAAAATCTATCAGACAACTCATTTGTACATTAACAAATAGGTCTTAATATGTTCATGAAACTTAATGAAGAAAGCAATCAGTGGTGAAATAAGCAAATTAATAGATGAACAACAAAAAGGTAAACTGTAATAACTGGTGCTGGAGAGAGGAGCCTTATTTTTTATTATGGCAGCCTGCTATTTTTGTAACATGATGATTGAGTTGAACACAAAGTACTGTAGAAACTGATCTCCTCTTTTTCCTGAATGAGTGAGCTGATGATTCAATATTGAAATCAATATCCTTGGGCATACCTGAATGAAATGATGCTGTGTTTTGGTTGTATTCTGAAGTTTTTTGGAGCACTATTTGGCATCTCCTTTCTTCCATGGAGAGCTCACCATTCAAACATGACAGATTTGGTAAAACACTAGTTAGGTTGAGTCTTGCTTGCCTCCACTTGGTCACCGTTGTATGAATCCAATGGTTGTTTTGTTTTGCTTTTTGTTTTTTTCCTGTTGTTTTTTTTAACAGTTTTCAGCTGATGTTCATGAAAAGTGTAAGTATTTAGAATTGTGCCACCAATAAAAGGAAATCCTAAAGAAGTACATTTCTTTACAGAACTGTGTCATACCATCCTTTGGACCCTTTGCTGGAAAAGTAGAATCAAGTCTCAAATAATTGCCTTTTTAATTGTATCCTCTAGTATTATAGATGTAGGACAGTACAGTATCATACTCTGTGAATGTAAAACCTCTTGTACTTGCCTTATGGTATGCAGTAGTGACCGTGCTTTAACAGAGCTGTTTTTAATAATGTTACTCCAGAATGTTTTCTTTTCAGGTGATGACTGAGAAGCTAATAAGAAAAAAATGGTGCCAGGTATCACAACACTACCAGAACTTTGCAGTTTTCTCTGGTTTTGTTTTCTTTTTGTTTTTATACCTCCCCCACCTTTAATGGAGTGTGCTGGATGTCTCTATAATTATGTTGATATGACTGAAGAACCTGGATAAGCTGTTGTTGCTGCAACTGATGTATAACATAATGCTATTATATATATATATATATAAAATACATATTATAAATGAATTTGAAACAGCATTTGTTTTAAAATAAAAGATAACAAAAAAGAAAAAAAATACATATTATATATATAYAATATTGAATTTTTGGAAACTTTAAATATACTGTCAACTCTGGAAAAAGTATCCCCAATTTACTGTGTTGAGTTGGCATTGTTCAGAAATTAACAGCCATATTGGTCTAGAAAAGTTAAACTTAATTTTTTTCCATTTATACAAGGGTAACACATTTATCAAATATGCAAGGTTTTATCTACATGTTTGATTGCAGAAACTAAAAGTATTTTATAAATAATGAAAAAATAAATTGTAAGACTAGAGAGTTAATTTGCTGATTTTTAATAGATAATAAATTAAAAATTCTCAAGCTGTTAATTTCATGAGCAGAAAAAGGGCACAGAATATGTAAAATAACTGATAGTCTAACAAGAAAAATACATATCTGATTTTAATAAGCATCAAGTAATTTTTCTGACCTTGCAAATCTTATGAGGTTATCTTATTATTTTAAACAATGTTAATACAGGGTTCAGCAAGAAACCAGGGACCTGATGGTATTAACAGTATAGTGATTAGACAGAAAATATTTCACTAACATAAAAAAGTATATTTTTGAGAATTACCAGCTATTGGATTGTGTATTACACCACAGACAATTATGTAATATTAACCTTAAAACTCCAAATCCTACAATGGTCTAAAATTACTATATGATCCCGTAATCACCTCCCTCACCAGTCATATACTAGTTGACTCAATCTGATATTCTGCCTTCTAGTATTCTTTAAACATTCCAGATGCTCACTCAGGACCTCTGCATGTTATTCTCATACTGAGTCACTCTCCAAGTAC